ATTAACGAATAGCGCCATGTGATCAGTGTGATCGTTACTATATCACAATTTGACTTACCAATCAAAATTCTAGAAGTTGTAAATGAAAGCAAAAACAGTTAAACAATTTGAATGTATTTTTTAGACAAAAAACAGCGATTTAACGACGTGACCTCTACACATTCCCTTCGGCCATGTTTCTACTAAACACACTTTTAACGTTTCTACTAAACAACCGACGATTCGCGCGCTACATTTGAATTAATAAAAATGCAACCTAGTGATCAGTTTCACCCCCGGAGATCAATTTCACCCCAAACGACGGTACTGAAACTTTTGAATTGATTTATCATTTGATATAAAGCTATGAAAGTTTTTGAATATTGTCCGAATGAACTTTGAGAAGTCTCTTGATTTTAGTACAGATTATAAGTACTTAGTTGAAGAAATTAATTACATGGAAAAATTTTACTTGTATTAGAATGTACCTAGTATCTGAACCGTAATATTAAATCTTTTCGACTGAAACTATTCGTAAGAAAACCAGGAGTTGGTTGTAGTATTAGGGTATTTTTAGTTATGAATAAAAGAAAAAAGTAGCCGGCCGTGGCTCCAGAGGTATCGAGTTCGATTCCCAGCTACAGTACGGGCGCTTTATTTATTTAAATAAAACCTATTATCTAAATAGAGCGACCAGCCAGCCGCCACCTCAGGCGAAGGAAGGCAATGGCAAACCACCTAGAATATTTGCCTTGTACAGCCTCTCAAATAATGCCGTTCGGATTCGGCATTCCGATTCGATTTGATGATCACAAGTACTTGCGGGAGATATCTGTATAGGGTAAGAAGATAAAAGAAAGATATGGCAAAGTAAAATACTGCAACAATTCTGCTATTATACATTATTTTGACATTTACGTTTCTCTGGTTTAGAATTATAGCACCTCAAAATAGCGTTGTTTGGTTTTTGAAGTCCAACAATCTGTAAACTCGTTCTTAATCTAACTTACTAATTTTTATTACTCTATTTTCTGTTTTGTTGGTTTTCTGATAAGTAATTTGATAGTATCAGTTAAATTATACTTATATGCAAATAGTACGAGAGCTAGCAACGTCTGGAAAACAAGTATTTTAAGAAAACTGGCTCTTTGATATATCTTTTACTATGCTCTCTGGAACAGCGGGCAGGCCGTCTGGCTGCTGATAGACGTTGCGTTCAGTACTGCGCATTAAAAAAATTTCACCGCATTTTTGATCAACACTTTCCACTTAAACCTGTGTATAAAACAAGAAAGAAAACATCAATATACAAAAGTAAGGAAATAACAGAATGCAAAGAGAGATTAGACACACTACTAATGCTATCAAGATATAACGATCAATATAAAGATATTTACAGAGCCACAAAGAAAGAATATGACAGATTATTAATTAAGGAAAAAGCTAACAAATATGACGCAAGAGTGAAATCATCTGATAACAAAATGAAGTGTTTATGGTCAATCTGCAAGGAAACAACTGGTAAAAATTCCCCAAAGGATGATTGTTTTATAGATCAAGACCCACTAGTTCTAGCAAATGAATTCAACAATCACTTAATCAGTGTTGTGCCAAATATATTGTCCAGTATTAGGAAAGTACCATTCATCTGTAACATAAGTGAGAACAATGAGTCAATGCGACTGAAATCTGTGAATATAGAGGAAATTCAAAAAATTGGTCAAAGTCTAAAAAATAAACATAGCAGCGGTGTGGACGAGGTTCCAACATCTATAGTAAAATTCTGTTTGAAATATGTTGATGATATCTTGTGCTATATCATTAACAATTCGCTAAAATATGGGATCTTCCCAGACAGGCTGAAGTTGGCATTTATTAAACCAATCTACAAAAAAGGAGATCACTCTGATTTGAATAATTATAGACCAATTAGCTTACTGCCAAGCTTTTCAAAAGTATTTGAAACAATAGTTGCAAACAGAATATTAACTTTCATGAATAGTTGTAAACTGTTTCAGAATATACAACATGGGTATTTGAAGGAGAAAGGTACCATTACTGCATTGTTCGATTTCACTACATCAATAATACAACATCTGGAAAATAAAGATCTGGCATGGGTATATTTCTTGATTTATCAAAAGCATATGACTCTTTAGACCACCATTTACTACTAATAAAACTCGAAAAATATGGAATAAGAGGTCCAGCACTCAAATGGATTACATCATACTTGACAAATAGAGAACAACAAGTTATTGTGAGAAAAGACGAAAAGATTAGTAAGTCCAGTATACAAAAATTGAATATTGGTATACCTCAAGGCAGTATCATTGGGCCACTACTTTTTATCATCTACTTAAACGATATTAGTCAAACAACAAGAAATGCAAATTTTAGCCTTACATGCTATGCAGATGACACTAATATACTTACTCACGGAACAACACAAGATATTCTGAAGGAGAATGGCAGCAAGGCTTTCATAAGAGTAGAGGAATGGTTTGATGCAAATAGACTAATGCTAAATAAAGAAAAAACTAATACACTAATTTTTCGAACACAACAGAAGAAAATTGAATTAGCGAGCAATTTGAAAATTGGAGAAATGGATGTCAGCCTTGGTGGTGAATGCAATTTCTTGGTATTTACATAGACGAGCACTTAAAGTGGACCCAACATATTTATAAGCTATGCTTGAGACTTGGCACAATTTCCTACGGTCTGAGAATTGTGTCAAGTTATGTGAACCCAGACTCAATGAAAACACTATACTGTGGAAATTTTGAGGCACTGCTGAGATATGGAATTATTCTCTGGGGATCAAATTCAGAAACTGCAAAAATTTTTGTGATTCAGAAAAGAATTATAAGACTTATAAAGAAACTTCAGTACAGAGAAAGCTGTCGAGGACACTTTAAATCCCTCGGAATTATGACGCTTCCAGCTCTTTATATATATGAGTGTTTAATATTCATCTTCAAACATAAATCCCTATTTGAAATGGAAAAATCTCATGAATACCAAACAAGGTCCAGTGATGCCAAGTTCCCCTCACATCGTCTCACCCTGACTGAAAAAAATCCAGTATACATGTGTGTAAAGTTTTACAATAGCCTTCCTGAAGACATAAGAGCAATCGAAAGTCAAGAAACCTATAAGAAATCGTTGAAAAAACTCTTAATTGAATTGAAACCCTACTCAATCAATGAATTCTTAATATAAAAGTCTCTTCGCCGCTGACAATATTTCAATATTTGTAATTTTATTGTACATATTTAGATCATTTTTGAAATAAATATTTTTATTATTTATTATTATTATTAAAAGAAATTCCTATATTTTTATTTAGTCCTTTAAAATCTAGTATTGAATATAAATTGAACAAATCTCCATAGCGCGGCGCCGAAAACGTTCCGCCTATAAAGCGAGAAGTCCCGAGTTCAATATCGGATCGGGGTAAACTTTTTTTTAATTTTATTTTCATTTACATATATTATGATAGTAAAGTATTAAATAATTCTGTCGATTAAAAAAAACATTTATTTAATACTTCACTATAATAAAAATAAACGAAAATAAAATAAAAAAAAGTTTACCCCGAGTCGGTATTGAACTCGGGACTTCTCGCTTATAGGCGGAACGTTTTCGCGCCGCGCTATGGAGACTAAAGGTTGATTCTCACTATACCTTCCATTTCCATTCCATTCCATATCCGTTCCGTATTTTTTATTGTATTGACGCTATATGTAAGCTTCCGTTCCATATCAGTTTACCATACTAATTAACCATACTTTTTATTGTACGATTTATATCATTGCGAAAGTTTTATTTTAAAAATTTGTATCTTTTGAAAAAGGTAATAGATTTAATTAAGAGGTAAAAGAATAAATAAATATCAGCAAAATTTTAACAAATACTGGCACAAATGTAAGAACATGACAACCCTGTTTCCGATACGCTTCAGTCCGTCCGCCAAAAAAATGTCCGGAGGGACAGGATATGGAATGGAAGGGAAACGGAACGGATAATGTGCATTGTCCTATCCATTTACATGATATATTTTATGTAAATGGAAGGGAGCTGATATGGAAAGTATAGTGAAAATCAACATTTCTGGCGCTTGGAGACGCTATGACGCTTATTCAATTTATATTCAATACTAGAATTTAACGGATTAAATAAAAAAATATATAGGATCTTCTTTCAATGCGCTGTAGTGAACGCAATGTCTATCGGGTGCCAGACAGATGACTCTCACGCTGTTCCAGAGAGCATAGCAAAAGATATATTAAATAGCCAACTTTCTTAAAATTACTTTCTCGAAAACGTTTCTAGTTCTTATACTAAAAACGCTTGGCAAGATTTTGAAGTGGTAATTCTGGATTCCTTTCCTGATTATTTAAAATAAGTGAATTAGAAGAGCAATATATTGATAATTTTCCGATGAGAACATAATAAATTCAACTTTGCCATGTACTATATTTGACTTTTACGCACTTCAAACTTGTCAAAATATCGTCTCCCTTAGTACCGCGTATCGTTGCCTGCTGCCTTATCTCTCCATAATCAGTTGGTAGAAGACTCAGAAAGCTATTTTACAGTTTTAACCGACCAAATATAAATTTAAAGTTATAACACTGGTAAATATCAATTTTAATATAATAAATACCATTACGCCTTAGAAATGTTTTCCCTTTTTCTTAATAATTTGTCTTGTGTAAAATTCTTCTAAGATTTTCCTCCGTGAATTGCATAAACGAATCTTTTCACTATCAAATATGAAATTGTTAATCATATTCAATATTTGCCCATTCCATATTGGAAATTTGTCCCCTTTTCCTAATAATTTGCTTGATATAAAATCCAGAATTTCCTTCATGAATTGTATTATTTTTTTTTATATTTTCAAGAAAATATTTAATAATAAATAATACATTGAACTATACAAAATTATTACTAACCTGAAAATAATAAAGATACGTGAATAAGGAAAAAGTAAAAAAACTACTTTATAATAATTACTGATAAACTAATTTTTATATATAATTTAATTTCGTTATTACAATAAATCTATAACAACTGTCATAATTCAGAGCGCTGTCTCATGATTGACTCGATCTTCGGGCAAATCGAGTTTGATATCCCCTACGTCTACTACAGGGATATCAGGATTAATATAAGCATCTTTGGAAGTTGACGCGCCTGCGTTCAGAAACGCCGACGCATCTCCGTTAGAGAACGGCAACGGCAACATCCCTCCGTTCGGGAACGGCATCACCGGTCTTTCTTCGATGTAGTTAATGTGTACGCCGGCCAACGCGTCCGGCGACATCACCTTGGAACCGATGGACCGCTCCGTCGGCGTGTAGTACAACGACAAACGACTCTGGGTCAGGTTTTCCGTGTCCGTAACCTCGTCCAAGTTGGACAGTTGCTCGATCTTGGACTTGATGTAGAAATCGACGCTTTCGATGTCGTTGGGGTCGAAGACGAGACTCTCCGCCCGACCGCAGGTTCCCGCTCGGCAGTTCTCAAAGTAGAGGCTGGGCAGGTTCTCTAGCACCTTATTCAGGGTCTGTTGCTGATACTTGTAAGTTTCTCGCAGCTGGAGTACTTTGTGAGCGCTGAACTTGCGGATCTTGTTGCGTTGGAATACGTAGTTCTCGCGTACCCAGTTCAGTTGAGTCGTCGAATAGTCGCGTACTTTGCGAACCTAATATAAAATGTCAATCAAAATACCTATAACTATAATTATCGAAATCGTCAGTTTAAAAAAGAATGTAATGTTCCTAGAGTGCAGGTTATATCGAAATTTAGATTTTAGATTTTCCTCTTACTGTTAATTACTGAACAATAGTAGTTGTACCACATGTATCTTAGGTTTATCTTTTTATGCTACTGAAAATATTTTTTGTGGTAGGAATTATAATCTAATATTGTGCTGTAATAAGGTTATTGATAGAATAACATAGCAAATGAATTTACCTGGTCACAGTATTGTCCTCTTAGGGTGGATATATGCTGGCTTCCGATATCTCTAAAGTCTCGTAAATGTTTCGCCTGTGACTGATAGCTGTTTTGAATCCACTCCATTTGTTGAGCACAGTTGTCCTTTATTCTATTCACCTATAAAACGAGAAAAGTTAACTTTAAAAAGACCAATTAATAATTTTATTTTGTACTTGTTGTGTGTAGTTATCCTTTAACTTCTCTAATTGCTGTGACTTGTATTGCTCGATATTATCTAACATTGCGTAAATTTGACGTGCTCTAGGTGAAACTCTGTCTCGTTTGCAGAAACTACAGAAATTGTTTAGGATACCGAATCTAAAATAATATAAGAAAATTTGTTAAAAATTCATTGTTGGCAAACGAAGATAGTGTTCTTACTTATTTAGAATGTAGCGTAGGAACTGAACAAGAAGGGTAAGGCCAAGGAAGCCAGCGGCACTCTGAGTTCCAACAATTAAACTAATGATACGAATATGATTCCAGTCTGTAGGATCAATATGTAGGAGCACGTCATCAGTAAAGTTGGATATAGGATTGCTGGCGTAGCAATAATAGCGGCCGCAGTCACTACGTGTTATATTTCTAATCCACAAAGTTCCATTATCTAATACCTGCAATAAATATATTTTCAAAATAAAGTGTTACAAAAAGGAATTTTATGATGAACAAGTTATTTGGTTAACATAAAAATTAATAATACCAGAAAAGCTATGATTAATATGAAAGTGTTTAATGAACGTACCTGTATTCGAGGAGGAATCACTCTTAAGGGTGTCATGTAAATATCGTGAGCATGTGGATGTTTTTCGAAGGTATCTGGGATGCCAGCATCTGGGTTCCAATGAAACACTTCCCTTTTTGGTGTAATCCAGGTAATGGAAGGTGGAGGATATGCCGAATACCTATATGAATGAATAGAGATTAATTGAAAGAAAATACTGAAAATTGTGTATATTTCACCTGCACTCCAACACCGCATCGGATTTAAGGCGATATAATTTGGTAGGCGTCTTATATACTATATGCGGCCGGGTACAGTTCAAATGTTGCAGTGTGGGAAGCATATCGTTCGGGTATGCATCCGGGCCACATGTCAGCTCGGATAGTTCCAAATCTTCACGTTTTTTCTTTTCCGCCCAGGCGGCAAACCAGTACATCCGGCAGTCGCATGCCCAAGGATTATTTGAAATATTAAGGTGCTTCAGCCTAATGGGAAGAAAACTGATTAACAGTACTTTTAACATAAATTATTAACTTACCGCGTTAGATTAGCCATCGATTGAGGTAAGAATGTCAAGGAATTTCCACTTATATCTAATCGCTCTAACGCTGGAGTATCGGCCAGGACGTACGATTCGATTTCCCTTAATCGTTTATTATTACGAATAGAAAGATTTCGCAATAAAGGTACTCCGAGCAGTTCGGAATTGTGAATTTTCTGGATGTCCGTATCATCGATTGCGAGCGATATTAGATTAGGACTAAAGTGTAGTAAGCCAAATGTAAAGAGCACCATATTGTTTCTACTCAAGTCGATTTGGCGAAGATTTTTCAATCCTCGGAATGTGCCGCTAGCCAAACTGCCTAACGGGTTATTAGCTACATTTAAGAATTCAAGCTTATTCAGCGAATCAAATAGGCCCTTTGAAAAGCTGGTAAGCAAGTTGTTGCTGAGATCCAAATGACGCAGCTCGGTAAGGTCGGCTAAAGCGTTCGATGTGAGCTTGGTGATACGATTGTTGTTCAGTAATAATAATTCAATATATTTGTTAAACTTAAAGAAATGATCTAGGAAGGTAGCTAGGTAGTTGTAGCTTAGATCTAACTCAGTCATATGTTCCATGGCAAATACCTAAAACGATTTAAGAAAAATCATAAACTATTAAATCCAATGAAGTTTTAACTATCTCACCTGGAAAGGTAATGCCTGTAAATAATTATGACTAAGACAGAGCGTTTTAAGCTTCTGGTTTTTGAACACATATCGCGGCAGATCAGCTATTCGGTTGTATGAGAGGTTCATTTGCAGCAAGCTGCTGTAGTTGGCAAACTGGTAATTTTCTAAATGACTGATGTTGTTGTTGCTCATATCTATCGACTTTAGGTTCTCCGGGTTTATTAAGCAGTCTTTTAAATTGACTATACCTATAGACAAGTTTCATTCGTTATTTCCTAATTTGCATTGAAAAAAAAATGGAGGTGGACTTACCGCTGTCCGTCCATGACAGATGGCGTACGCGGTTCAGATCGAGTCGACCCTCGCTGACGTTGCGCAATTCCAGATGGGTGACGTTGGCAGCGACGGCCACTCCTGCGGCCGATCGATTCGCACAGCGCAGTAGGGAGGTTTTGATCGCTACGCAGCCTTCGGGCTCCTGCGTGGCGGGGCCATGACGCGCGTGTCCCGTAACCAGCGACAGCACGAACACAAGGATGAAACATGACGAGACATCGGAGCCGGCACGTGTCAGCCGGCAGAAGTTGCCCATTTTCTAAATGTCATCGTCTTGGGCACAGCACTTTGGATGAGGGCAGTCCTGTTTGGAAAAAAAATATTTTATATATGATAACTTAAAATTATTAATCTAAAATTTGGACTATTTTATATTTTTTTGTGCTAATAACATTTTAAATTTTTAGTACAAAAAATATAAATTAGCTAATTCACAGTTAAAACGCATTTCGATTTGGAGCCTGCAATTTCTCTTTAGAGAATAGGCCAACTTCTCACGGGAAGAAGATATTTGTTTTTCTAATTTTCCATGTTACATTTTGCATTTTTATGGATATTTGTTATTATTGCTATATTTATTTGACAAAACAGATTAAATAATTCACATTATTTTTATTTTATGCTTTTATTAGGAGTTAAAAGTCTATGAAAATTACACTTTATAATAATTTATTGAAAAATATTCTATTATTTCAAATAATAGTTTCTACAATACTTTTTTTTAAACTCTTTAATTTGTTTTAACATATTTTAAAAAATTCTCTCTATGTAACTCTCGCTCCGCTGTTACTTTGACCAATTCTACGATATTATAAAATTTATTTTTCCATTTTTTTACATTGCGAGTAACATTTTCATTCCAAAACAATACATTTTCAGGAACCTGTTCTTTTTTATTTTATAGAGATGTTCCTAAAATACATCTTCCCCATCAATAAAAACATTTTGAAAAACTTTTAAAAACAACATTTAAACTTTTAAGATATTTCGTAAATTTTCTATTGTTTAGAAATATTAAAATGCACATTTTCTTTAACTCGCCTAAATGTTATGGTCATTAAACAACTCATGGCTATGCATAACTTATAAAACAGTAGTACCACAGGCAGTACTAACAACGGCATTTATTACAAATTAAAACATAAGCAGGGTTACTGACCGATTCGGTAGATTTTTATGTTTTTTAGCAAAAAAATTAATCACAAAACATCGTTGAATAGATGTATTTTTAATTTATTACTCTTTTCGTATGTATTTCTCCGAATTAGTTATGAAATACGTACAGGGAAAGGACTAATTACTATAATTATCATGGCTCATGAAATTTCTCTACAGTACTGTTTTCAAGGAATTCTACAAAAAAAGCTAATACAGGTCTGACGATTTCCATTATAAAATTGTTTTACTAAAAAATAATTCCTATCATTTAAAAAAGGTTTGGTAGCATTCCCAAACCATGCATATGTGTATGTATACCAGGTGCGTCTCAAAAGTGGCTCACCCCTATAACTGTTTTATTTTTTCAGATTAAAAAAACGAGATTTGGTATGTTAGTATATGACATAAATTAAAATTGATTGACGTATTCAATTTTTTTTGGTCACTTCCTATTTCATCGGAAATGGCTACAACTTTTGATTTTTAAATGGCACCCTCGGTATATTTTTACTTTATTTGATAGAAAATAACACTCTGAATAGAATGACATATCATATGTCAACTTTTGAGATTTTCGCTTTAAAAATAAGCGTATTTTAAAAATACTAATTTTTAATCAAGGAGCCTTGGAAAAAAAGATTTGATCGTCTAATGTTTTTCGTGTCTTGTCCTGGCTAATTAAGAGATGCCGAAATTATATTTTTAATCATATCTCAATTTTTTCAAATGGAACGAGGGTGGCTCATTAGCATAATTGGAAAAAGCACTTTTTACGAATAATTTGGTACCACACACTTGGTATTTCGAATCAAATTATCGTTATGATCCGCATTTTACAATTTCAAATAAACCATATGATAAATTGTCAAAAGTTGACATATGATATGTCATTCTATTCGGAGTGTCATTTTCTATCGAATGAAGTAAAAATATACCGAGGGTGCCATTTAAAAATCAAAAGTTGTAGCCATTTCCGGCGAAACAGGAAGTAACTAAAAACAATTGAATACGTGAATCGATCCCAGTTTATGTCATACACTAACATACCTTATCCCGTTTTTTATCTGAAAAAAATAAAAAAGTTTATAGGGGTGAGCCACTTTTGAGACGCACCCGGTATAGAGTTTGTTAATTTTAATATTGTAAATTATATATAGGTAGTATATTTATGCCTAATATATTTTATTGAAACTAAAAAAACCTTAAAATATTAAGAGCTTTGTTTAAATATTTCTACATAAATATTTGATAAAAATACAAATGAAATTTTCAAACAAAATTTAGATTCATTGGTATTATATTAATTTGGATGCATTTAAACAACCTAAAAAAATCATCAGTACTACATAAAACCGCCTTTACCATTAATTTGCTAGCTCAAGTTAAAACGTAAAATTTTAATTGGTTGTAAATTTAATTTAAAACATACAGACTTTGATTTTGGATTTTTTTAAATAAACATTGAAAATGTAAATTTAGAAATAACTTGAAACATGGAAAGTTACAGAATAATTACGAATACTGAATATTGTATACAATATAGAGTAAAGTCACAGGAAATCAACTAACTTGAAAGCATATTCCGAGTATACACATTTCATATTTGTCAAAAAGCGTCTGCTAGTTGATTCAAATGCCGGAACGTCTTGACAATAGAATGTAGTCGATTAGTTACAGATCTACCGTATGATCCAAAAAACGGCGTCAGCAATCGATCATACGATACTTATGATGCATCGAGTAATTAAATATTTAAGCTATAGGTAGTTAAGAGATCCTAGAGATTATGAAAAAAAAATGAGAAATGAATCAACTCGTTTGAACAATTGACATGATTTGTTACATTCGTAGGAAATTAATTCAAGTGACTAGATCAGTTGACTTGACTCGTGTAAACGTACCTTTAAATGCACTATGTTCCAGCAGGCTTATAAATATTTTATATCGCAAATTTCATTAGAATTCGGTTTCGATTGTCGACGTCCAAAGTAATATGAAATCATAAAACTTTTAATCGTACATTATGACAGTAACTTTATTTATATTTCTAGCATTAAAATTAATCTATAATCGATAGAGAACTGAAAATTCTGTAGGGAGATATATTTCAGGGTCGACAGTGGCTATTATTAGAGCTAAAAGGCAAAGTCATTTTCCTTTCGAAATTCAGGCCGACAAAAAGTCTAGCCATTTTTTTCTTATTTTAGTGTATTCCTGATCAATAAGTCGGACTAAAAGGTATTGAGATTTAATGAAAATAAATCCCCAGATCACCATATTTTCTATCAAAAATAAAATTTCAATTATTCTGGAATAAATCTTTTCGAATTTTTAGATTAATTTAATTTTTATATGTACCTAGTTACCTCACCTCAAAATTACAACTAGAACTACGAATATCAAAAATGTTACTATACCAAACAATATGGTAGAAGCTATATTTATTGTAAGGTAGAGAGTAAAGAGATATGTACAGAATGATAGAAAAAAAACGGCGTCGAAGACAGCTGGGGAATGTTAATTTTGGCGAGGTCGATCTCTAGAGATGTGCAGGTTATACACTCGCATTAGTTGCATAATTTTTAAAAAGGCTTTAAAACGGTTCAAAGTTGATACATGAGTCATCACTAAACCTTCATGAGGACGAATACACCCCGCATAATCGGATCGTTTTGCAGCATAATGCACAAAGTGCATAATTATCGCATAAAGTGGCATTTTTTCCTTTTTTTCTGCAATTTAAGAAGACTATTGTTTGAGCCAATTAAAATTGTTGTGGCGACTTGTGACGATGTTTGAAAAGAAAAGAAAAAGATTCATCTGTTACACAAAGTACCTACGGCTGATTTCAGAGTTTTACATGGTATAATGTCGGATGAGGTGAAAGAGGCAGTTCAGAACTCCAAAACAAATAAAGATGACACAGATTTTGTATGCAAGGTACTGTTAGGATTGAGAACCAATTATCCTGAGTTTTTTACATACTGCTTGCAAGTTTTGCATATCCCAGTGGTAAATGTCGATAGCGAACGAGCTTTTTCAGCCTATGGAGATATTCTCTCCCCTAGCCGTTGCGAACTTTCTCCTGAAAACGTTGAAGTTATGATGTGTATGTATTTTGGAGATGATTGTTCGGATTGGGTTGTCGAAGATGATGTTGAAACTTAGCTTTTTTTATGAGATTAATATTTGATAATATTATTAAACTTTTGTTATCTTGTTAAGATATTTTATAGTTACCAAAAAATGACATTGTTTAAATATAATAAGTTGCGTTTTGTGAAATCTTGTGTTTTTTTTTCTGTTTTTAAAATAACTAACCATTTTCAACACCTTTAACGAAAATACCGACCAAAACATAAAATTACTTTTCTAGGAGCATTTTTTCGCATAATAAGTAACTTTTTAACGCATAATAGCCACATAATGAGCAATTTTTGGGCGCATAAAAGCCGCATAATATAACAAAATTTGTTCGCATAAAATAGGGGGTGTAAAATGCATAATCTGCACATCTCTATCGATCTCTAAACGTCATTTACTAAAAATTGACATAAAACTTGTCAGAAATTAACACTAATTATTAGAAAGATTAAAAAAGGATTCCAGGCCCCATAAAGGCCAAGTAAATGACGTCTAGGGCTTGACTTCGCCAAAATTATCATCGATTTTCATTCCGTAGCCATCTTTGACGCCGTTTTTTTTCTCGGTCGTATGTTTCGTTATCGATTTTGAATAAAGAGCAATTTTTCAATAAAATGGCAACCGAGAGGGCTGAAGTCGTCAAGGCACGTGTCTAGTAACAAGTTAATAGCTATTTTCAAAATCGAAATTAGTTTATGGACTTTATTTAAATTTATAGCCAGTTTACTTTTATTTAATTTTACCTACAACAGTTTAATAAATAATATTTACTAAATATGTATTTATTATTCTGGCAAGAAAAACGAAGATGTACCTAGTCCTTTGATTTATTTTACGGTGAGTTGTAGATATATGGATTTTCTATAAAAGGGCCAATTGCGGCAAATTCATTTTCTTCGCTTCCGACGACAGGTTTCTGCGAAATAGAACAAGTAGTTTTTCAAAGGAACGCTTTCCTAACAAAATAAAATCACTAGTAACATATTCATTCGTTCCGCAAGCAGATACTGCTCTATTTTTCTTGATAAAATAATGAATATTTATTAAACTATTATGGGTAAATTTAAGTAAACTGTTATAAATCTAAATAATAATGTCGATTTTGAAAATAGTTACTGTCACTAGAAAATTGCCTTGGCGACACCAGCCATCTTGATTGCCATTTTATTGAAAAATCGATTTTTTTTTCAAAATCTGAGCTAGATAGGTATAGGAAACCCTAATATAGTTTGAAAGAGGGTTTAAATATGGTTACAGGGTGATGCGTTTGAAATAACGAAGTTTTTATATAAAATAAATATTTAAAATAGATCAGCAAGAGCTATAAATAACACAAAAATATGTTTATGCTAATATAAAATAAGTCAACACATTTATCAGGAACATTATCAAAAATGTAATTAACTATAAGAACAAAGTAGATATATACTTAGGCGCATTCATTGACACACTATTAAACAACTTGACTTTTGGTTTGGTTTATAATTATATTGTATGCTCATTGCCTACCATAAACATTAAATTAATTGTTCATTTCATTATCTGTTCAAGTAAATAAATTTAAAATGTCTAACCTCTATCTGGGTAACTAAACTGAACGTTGTAAAATAGGTACGAAGGAAGGAATACAAAAAGAAAGCTATAATAAATATGATAGAAGGAAGAACTCTAAAATTTAACTATAATATCTATAATAGGTAACCAATACCTATATCAAACAAACATATATTATGATAACAATAACATAGGATGTCGTAATTCATATGCAATACAATTTTAATTGTTAAGGTTCAAAGTACTAACCCATTATACACATATTGTCTCATTGTCGTTTTTCAAATACCTAAATCCAAAATAAACGAGTTATTTTATTTTGAAAATTTCCAAAAAAAAAGAAATATTTTTGCTTAAATTTTGAGAGCCACTGGATCTTTTCTGCCTTTTCTTGTAAATTTAATCTACTACCACAACTACTACCTATGTTGCCATATTATCAAGAAATTATGTTTTTTAACTAAAAAATTCCAAATTAAAAAAAACGAAAAATCTTCATCGCGTTTCTGGGATCGACATATACCTACTACCCCTAAAAATAGTTGCACTTATTTAAGACTCACCCTGTGGAGTTTTTTTTATAATGTAGAGGAGATAGGAGGTTGATTGAATTTAAATATAATTTTAAAGCTTAAAACCCTTTTAAACTATCGAGCAAAAGTTAAAAATTTGCAAATAATTTCATCGTTTTATTTCACGATTTATTGTGATTTAAAGAATTTCAATGGGAATTTAGGACAAAAACTTGTTCTATTTTTTTTAATGTTAATTTAATATATCAAACAGCCATTGTTCTTATGTTTTTCTTACGTATTTTTATTCTTTCCAATTATTATTAGAAATATATGTTATAAGAAAGTCAAATCAGACCTACAAGGTAATTGAATGTTTGTGTAGGTGTTTTACTATTTCATTAATAGAAGAAATCACATCTAAATTTAGCAAACAAGTATTTTTATTTAACATTAACATTAAGTAACTAAATCTATAAAACTTGAAGTTGAAGTAGGTAACAAATACTGGGGGAAAAAGAATTGACTCAATCTATATGAAACCTTTTAGGAAATTAAATAATAATGTAATTAACTTTTCGTTTAGTAGGTACCTACAAACAATGGGTACTAAAATCGAAATACCTATGTCTACTTACATTTTACATACTTTTTTTAAATTTCAACGGTTTCAGGGAAGAACAAATATGCCTAAACAAGATATAAGATATATACCGACAACTTTCTTCTTGGAACCCAAAACATTTTCTTTTTATATTTTAGAAACATTTCTCATTTAAAAATAACACGTTGATTACAAAACGATTCGTCGTATTTTGTAACATTTGACTCATAGCGAAAGTGGGTAACTGAAGCATAAATTGTTTTGGTTCATTTTAAACAGTATGTAAAGTAATTTAAAAAAAAGTGGATATATTAGATAATGTCTCCTTGTATTTTAACGAATACCTAATCAAATTTATAAATAAAATAGTGATTGTATATTTAGATACAAAAGGTCAATGAATGTATAGCATTGAAGCTGGTCCTCATCAGTTCTTATAATGAGCGTGCAGACGATTTTTAGAGTTTTCTAGAACGTTTTTGATATTGTAAGGTAAGGTACTTTATCGATCAAGCTCGTTCGAAACTTGAAAGTGTTCTTTCATAAATTATTTTTTCAATTGATAGAAAAATCTAGCAAACATACCTAATTATATCGGTATATCAAAGTCTTGACATAAAACTCATAAATAATAAAATTCAAACATGCTAAGTATCTTTTATCAATTTATTTGGAGTAATTCAACTTGAGTCGTTATTTTTTCTTAATATATAAATATGTCGATTTGAAAAGTTGATTTTTATTTATATCTGGAGAAAAGGCACTGACCACTCCGTTCTATTACTTGTGATTGAAGCAGGACGGGCAGACTTCAAATATGGCTTCACCAATGTCAATAAATCGTTCAGTTAATAGAGGATTTAGCACTGAAAGATCACACACGCTAAAGAATCGGAACTTTTTTTTAGAAACACACACAAGGTATTTTGACGAATGGGATCGAAGTTACGTTACAACCCGCACGACATAGGTATTTCGCTACAGCTGTTCATGAGCTGTTTGCTTTTGCTTCATTTCCCCAGTTGGCAGGTTCGAGCGCGGACGAGTCCAAATTCCGTCGGATTCGAGGGGAGGTCGTTAGTAACGGAAACATTAGGCGACGTTGCCAATAGCTCCGCCTGTATTTACCTTACGATTACGATACTCCTACTGGAAACTAAATTATTGAAATATTAATATTTCAATTGCCCTAAAATGTTCAAACCGTTTTACTAAATTTAAGTAAATTTTATTAATGAAGTTTTTAACTAAATTATTTGCAAAAATCGTTTAGCGTTGTATTCATTGGGTTAATTTAGCACGAAAAGTTGAGTTGTTTTCACATAATTAGTCTTCCATTAAAAATATTTAAAAAAAATTGTATGTGCACTATGTGCGCATATCTGAAGTGAAACTTCTCCTAACTCTCTGTCCGTCTGTCTGCTCGTTTGTCCGTAATACCCCCTTTACATGCAGCCACTGCCGCTGCTACTCGCGCTGCCCGCTGTCCTGCCCTCAATAATTCCACGGCAGTTGTAGAAGCAAGTGACCGTTTACATGCAGCTACTGCGCCTCGCATTGCTATTGCTCTCCATCAGTAACGTAGAAATTGCGGCGGCGACAGCGCTCTGTTTTTTGAGTTTGCAAAATTATATTAATATGTTAAAGAGAAGTGTAATAGAAAAAAAACGCCGACGTATTTGTGCACGCTTTAGCATACACAAAGTAGCACTTAAAGTAGCGGTAAAATATTTTTCCCGGACACTGATTTTGAAGCAGAATTACCATATTATAAATTACTAGATGATTAGCCTTTCAAATCATCGTATCAAAAAGTATGTTCGTATATGAAAGTAATTTGTACTTAAAAAAATCAAAAAACGTGGATGGCATGCAGTTGACAAAATATGCATTAGTGGTTTTCCTAAGTAGCATTTTTTAGAATTAGTGGGAGAGGGGTTAATCACTGCGACCTTACAGATCTATTGTGTCCCCCTTTCATGAGTTATAACTCATCATACAGTCCCAGGGCTTTGACAAAAGCCAGTATCTGGGACGGTTTTATAGAGGGTAGTTCTTCATCTCCAATATCAGTCGTACCAAAATTCATGGCACGAATGGTTGTCGTCTCGGCGCACTCAGTGATGAGGTGTACTGGTGTTTCCCCATCTTCCCCACAGAATCTGCATTCGCCGTTTCTTCTTAGTTTCAATCTACTGAGGTGTTCATTGAGGAGACAGTGTCCTGTTAAAAACCCCGTGACAATCCGAAGATTGTTCTTACTTAAACCCAGGAAGATCTGTGATTTTTCTTGATCATAAGCCCTTAGAAACTTCTTCGAGTGTCTTAGACCGTTGCAAGATTCCCATTCCAGGTTTGGTTTTCCCTAAGTAACTATCTGAACATTAATTTCGCACCCCAAATAACATGAATATTTTGTGCTATTGTATAGGAAACATAGTAGGTAATTACCAAAGAGGTTAGAAGAGAAAGAGGTAACAAATGCTCTATTTTATAATGCGCGAAGGCTGCCTGTTTTTCCGATCTGGGTTCCTTTGGTGGGGGTCACGCCAGGAGCGGATTTAGAAATTTTTAAGTGAATAATGATATACATCTAATATATAAAATTCTCGTGTCACAGTTTTTATTACCTTAATCCTTCAAAACGGCTTGACCGATTTTGATGAAATTTTATATGTATAATCAGTGGATATGAGACTAGGTTGTTATCGATTTTTTATACCCCTAAGTGATAAGGGTGACCCAAGAAAAAAAAAAATTTTTTTACTTTTTTGAAAAAAAAATTATTTTAATTTTTTTATGATTTGGCATTATAAAATACATACAACCCTAAATTTTCACCCTTCTACCACCAACACCTATTTTGTAATAGGGGTTGTTTTTTTTAATTTTTTTTATTACCTTACTCCTCCGAAACGGCTTGACCGGTTTTGATGAAATTTTATATGTATAATCAGTGGGTCTGAGACTAGGTTATCGATTTGGTGGCCCAAAAAAAAATATTTTTTTTTAATTTTTTGGAATTTTTTTTATTTCTATTTTTTTATGATTTGGCAATTAATACATTTGGCAATTAATACATTAATACAATTTGGCAAAAATACATACAACCCTAAATTTTCTTTTTCTACCATCAACCGCTCTTTTTTAATAGGGGATGTTTTTTTTAATTTTTTGTTACCTTACTCCTCCGAAACGGCCTGACTGGGCCTGACCGAGTTTGATGAAATTTTATATATATATATATATATATATATTCAGTAGGTCTGAGGGTAGGTTATTATCTATTTTTTATACCCCTAAGGCGCGGTATTTTCAGGTATAAATAAATAACTTTTATCTAACAAATAACAATCTTAAAGATAAAACAATTGGTAGAAGATACACGTTTTTACACGCTATCCGTCAAATAAAATATATAACACGCTATCTGTACCTGAAAATACCGGGGGTAAGTGATAAGGGTGATCCAAGTCCACCGGCCAAATCTTCTGGTGTATGGGTGGCTACTCGTTTTTTAGACCAATCTAATCTGACAGATCAAGTCTGCTCTGATTTGGCCTGTGACAGGCTTGGTCCGCCAATGGCTTGGCCTGCTACAGACTTGGTCCGGCACACAAACACAAAGTTCTTATCCGCAGACCAAGTCTGCAGGCCAAATCTTCTGGTGTAGGACGCTAATAAGCAAATTTAATTGTAGAATAGGACTGCAGAAAAACCACCTTATGATATTAAAAATTCTTTATTTAAAACTATTTAAATAAAAATAATTCTACAATGGGCTATAAAATATAAAATAACACAATATTAATCACAAAAATAGTATATTGTTTTATTAGGAATAAAAATGACACTTTTCGTGGCGAGGCTGTACGTTTACATACAGGCGAGGCACAAAAAGTAATTTTTACTCCGAATAGAACATGCTATTTTTTTCCAAACGCCACAAATAATTTTTTAAACAATTTCAAACGTTCCAAATGATATAAAAAGATTTAAAAGTAATACCTTGTATATAATTATATATCGAGAAACTATGGTTACCCTCCTTGAATTTGACACTTTATGTCAGTTTAATAATATATTTTCGCACTTGTATGCTTGGGCGTAAAAGTGTTTTACTTTTATATCTAGGCAGTAAAATTACTTTTTTACATTGTCAATCACGTCGCAAAAACTAATACTTTTGTGACGTGTGAAAAAAATAGTATATTGTTTTATTAGGAATAAAAATGACACTTTTTGTGGCGAGGCTGAACGTTTACATACAGGCGAGGCACAAAAAGTCATTTTTACTCTGAATAGAACATGCTATTTTAGAAACGCTACAGATAATTTTTAAACAATTTCAAACGTTCCAAATAATATAAAAAGATTTGATGTGTATAATTATATTGTAATACCTTGTATATAATTATATATCGAGAAACTATGGTTACGCTCGTTGAATTTGACACTTTATGTCAGTTTAATAATATATTTTCGCACTGCTTGGGCATAAAAGTGCTTTAATTTTATGCCTAGGCAGTAAAATTACTTTTTTATATTGTCAGTCACGTTGTAAAAACTAATACTTTTTTGACGTTTGAAAAAAAAAATATATTTTTACAGAATTACAAAATATTATTGTCCCTTAAATAATACTAACTTATTATAACTAGACCGTATACTTCTACTTTTGTCAAACAGACTTTTGTTATAATGATGAATTCGCACAGTTGCATATATAGAAGAAATTAATTCTATTAGGTTGTTAAAGTGGCTAGTAAAAATATTTTGTTCTCTAAAGTGGTTATTAAGTGATTCAAATAAGTTTTTTTTACCAATTATTATTTTTAAAACTCTAATATTTATTTTTTTAATATCGATAACAGTTTCTGAACCGTTAAAAAATATCTGAAGAATTTTTTCTGTTGTTAAACAAATATACATAACATCTTCAGATGGATAAAAGAGGTACTGTCCTTTGTCTTTTTGATTAATAAAGGACGTTATTAAATTATACCTGTCACCTGAAAGTGAATAGACACATTCCTCGCATTTTAAAATTTTACCTATTTTTTTAACCACAAAGCCAGCAATGTATGTTATGGCCTCTTTTTTAAATTCTGATATATTTATATTTATGTTTAAAGCATTGTGAAATATTTCATCGTCCTCAACTTCAATTACTTCTTCGGTTACTTCTGAAATGCGTTCTTTACCACATGTTTTATTAATTACCTCAGAAGGAGTTAAAATTGGAATTGCTTCCAACGGAATGCAATTCCCTTTAAATGAATCTCTCAATTCAAGATGGACCATCATTTTTTTATACGCCGATTTAAATTGTTTTGCTGATGGATTGTTGTTGTAACCACCCAGAGATCTAATCTGCCCAAAAAATAATTCAATGTGATCTTGACTTATTTTGTAGGTAGGGAAATACAACAGTAAATTATTCTCATAAATTAGATTTTTATAAAGAAATTGAAGGCTTTCTATATTAAATAAGAACCCTACAAATCCCATTTTTCTGCCGCTTTCGCACAATAGTTTGCCATCCATTAATCTTAATGATTTTAAATAATCTAATAATTCACACAAAAAAGAATTTATTTTTTCAAAGTTTTGCATACTGATTGGTTTTTTGAAATCAAGTTGGTGCAAATTTCTACTGTTTAATATATCAAATAAGTTGTTTATATAGCGTATGAATTTTACTGTGGGTTCAGAATCTTTAAACTGTTCAAGTTTTAAAATTTCATTGCAATATTCCAAAGAATGTGCTACTGATTGGCTAAATAGTTGGGTGGCTAATTTAACCTTCATTTTTTGGTTGCTATAAAATATATGTGATTTTCGCATTTTATTAGCCAAGTGCAAACCCTCTTCATCCTGAAGTTTACACAACTCTGTTAAAAAATCCCATTTTATTGTTCCACCGTTGTCATCTATAATAACTTTTTTTTCACCCAATGTATTCCTAATTAACTTTACCATATGACATGGATCAAAAAAAACTGCAATTCTTCTCCCAGAGTTAGGGTCAACAAATGTTGAATTAATATTTTTATA